GTGATCCGTGCCGGCGCAGCAAAGACGGGGTGGGAAGCTCCGCTGCGAGCTGAAACCCTTAACGTGCCTCCCTACATTATGTAAGAAAAATTATTCTCAGGCTGGTAAATTAGCAGAGGGAGCTGCCGCCGGCCCGTTGCGTCCGTCCAGGGGTGGCACGGGAGCGGGCAGCAGGCAGGGCGCGGAGGGGGACACAGGGCTGCCTGCTTTGGTCTCCGCTGCAGGCTTGGAAGGAGGGTGGGAAGGCTGAGTCAGGGCTCCTGCTTCTATTTTCAACACCTGGGGTGGGTAACGCGGTCTGGTGGGAATAGCGGCTCCGCACCGGGAGGCACGGGGCTGCAAACGCACGTGGGGACGGGGACGGTGACACCCAGCGCGTCCCCTGTCATGCTGGGCTCGCTGCACTCACCCTCACAGATGCTGCCCCGAATTACGCTGATAAAGTGCTCTGGGGAAGAGGGGCCGTGGAAGCACCCACATTGAACGGCTACCCCAAAACCAAGCTCCCCACGTCCACTGCCCACCTGCATTTCTCTGCCGGCCGTGGCCTCTCCTCTGTGGCTTTCCACAGCCCCCAAGGGGCACGGTGACACCCGCGCTGCGGAGCTGCCGGACCAGTGCAGCAGCTCCTCGGGTCAGCCCTGCCCGCCAGCATCCCTCGACAGCTCGGTGGTACTTATTTTTTGCACGCTTGAAGGTGCATATGGTCCTTCCCACAGCTGTTTCGTCCCCGGGTTGTATTTCAGCTGGGAACCACGGTCACCCTTTGTAGTGAAAGTCCTCGCTCGGGGTCGATGCAGCAGAAACCACGGCGTTAGCTCACCCGCTGCGCTTCCCAGTAGGCTACAGGGTATGGAAAACAAGAGTTCAGGGCATGAGTGTCTTGAGAGTTTCGTTCTGAACTTTGCAATAATTAGGCAATTTCTTAAGAACGGGTTTAAATCCCTTCCAGTCGCGGGTGTGTCAGGAGACCCGCAGCCCTGCGCCGGGGACGCGGCCACGAGCGAGCTGCTGGGCCCCGAGCTCCTCACCTGGGCTTTCTTCCATCAAACCTGCAGCAGCAAATAAACCAGCATTGCATAATTGTGCCCGGCCATGGCCCTCTAAGTACTATTCGCTCAGCTTATTAGCTTGAGCCTTTTGCATATCTCAGCTCTCCTGGGTTGAACTCTGTTGATAAGAATAATTTTTCTTCCTGCGTCCTGCATTCCTCCTGCATCCCACATCAGTCCCTGCTCTCCCCTCCGAGCCCACCAGGAAAACAAGCACTGGAAAACAACATTTTCATTTTGATGTGCCTACCAGAAGGTTTTCTGCAT